CGGGCGCCGACGCGCATGCGGGCGGAGCTGACACGGAGGGACGCATGGAACAGCGCAGGAGGTGAACCGGGTGCGGAGTTGGGAGGCGCATGGGAGCGCTTACAGCGCAGGGGGAACCTGTGTCCTCCAGCCCCCCAGCTGCCAGGGGGACACCAGGACTCATTAGTCTCTCACGCAAATGACCCAGACCGTGGTTTCTAAAGTAGAGAAGTAAGCTGGCCGTTGCCTGCACTCAGATCCTCAACACCCCCCTCTCTTTCCTTGGACCAAACCTTTTTTTTTTTTTTTTTTTAAAATAACTGCATGCTTTCCTTCGGGAAGCTGAGATGTGTACTTTTTCCTCACTGTATCGCTATTGATGTCGTCTATAAAAGTGTTTCCAAGCAGCCCAAAGTAAATAATGCACAAGCCATTTTGTAAAGCAAAGCAAACAATGAGCCTAAATAATAGATAACTCTTTATTAAAGAATTAGTTTCAGGTGTTTGTGTAGAACAGTTTCTCTCACATTACACTTTAGAATATTGTTTTGCACAACAAAGTAACCTGTAATGAACATTAGCCTCTTTCCACTACAATTTTACAATCACAGGATGTACTTGTTTTCTCAATTACATACAACTGAGAATTTTTTTTTTCCCCTTGCAGTACATGCATATGTAAAAATACCTGGTCAGATAAATGCTATTTTCTGTTAAACAGCACCATCTCTCAAAGATTTTTTTCTGACGTTACCACATGAAAAAAGATTAAACTCAAAGTGTTGTTTTCTGCAGTTTTATCATCGGGAAATTCACATGACATAACTGAAAAACACCTCCATGGTCTTACGTTTTTTGACGAAGTTAATGGAGAGATCAGTACAGTCTTCAGCAAATGGAGGATCAATCCCCACACTGTATCCTGTTACCATGCAAGTAGAGTAAAAACATCCTTTAGATTAAGGGCTCTGGCAAACGCCCTCTGGCAAATATTACTGAGGGATCACACGTGGCTTTCGACCTGTCCCTCTGCCAGTGGTTACTGCTCACACAGCAGGGGCGGCGGCAGGGACACGGTGCGCACCTGCCCTGGAGCGCGCCCCATGTCTTAGAGTAAACCCATGGGCCTCGGCTGCTGGGAGAACATTTCAGCAACGAACCCACCACCACCACCAGGACTTGCTCTCGTAACGGAAAGAGGGTCGTTGCATTAAGCACGCAGAGAAATGATTTCTTTCAATAATACAGAGTTCAACAGAAGTATGTATGTTTAGTAGTGTGCAAGTATCAACATGTTAAATCATCTGGGAATCTTCAGAATGATGCACCATATCCTTTTTTAGTCATACAAATATTTCACTTAAACATTTAATTTTATATTTTGTTTATCATATAAATAGTATCTTTTTATTAAAAGGCTGCACTATAATGTTTTAGCCCTGAAAGACATGTTATAGCACCAATGCTATAACGTTATAGTCTACAGAAAGTTATTTACACTACAACTTGGGGCCCATTCTGACCAACAAAATGGCATATGAACTTCAACACTTGATACAAAGACTTTCCTTGTTCTCAGTCAGCCTCACAGTTTGCTTCCTTCTAGAACACCAAAAATCTTTAACCAAACATTAAGGGAGGGAGAAAAAAATCTCTCAAGGGAGATCAAGTGTTAAGATCTACTAGATTCCTCTGCATCTGCTAGATCAGGACAAAAAAAAAAAAAAAAAAATCACACAACATATCTGTTGTCTTTGCATACAGGAAGCTTTTCTCTTAGCTATTTTAGCTTTTCAGAACAGAAGAAATGGAGTAATTATACATTATCTAATTAACAAACCACTGCCTACTGAACCAATTTCTCCCACATACTTTTCTGATTAAGAACTAAGTTACAGCTGAGTTTTAGAAGGACACAGTTATTACTACAGAAAAATTGAGAACTACTACAGAGAATCTTCAAGAATGAAATATAATGGGCCACCTCCAAAGGAAATATATGAAATCAAAAATACAAAATTAACACCCTAGGCACAGAAAATGAGATGCTAGTGCAGTGTACGAATAGAAGAAAACTGATAAAGTCTAAATTTTAAGTAGTATTTAATTATCATTTTAGTATTCCTTTCACTTTTCTTCATATTAAAGAAGATATATCTATGGATTCTATAATAATTTACAATGTCATTTTAAAGCTAAATACATACTGGCTATAGTGTACTGAATTTGCAATTAATTGATGTCTTGCTGAACCCAAACTAACAATTGTTTCACCCACACAAAATTAAAAGAGAATTTGCTCTCTTGGAAAGAGCAGTGGAAAAAAGCAGTTTCATTATCAGGCTTGATTAAAAAGCTGGAGACAACTAGTGCAGTTGCAGGGAAAAAACCTTGCAAGGCAAAGCAACGTATTTTTAAACAGAATTAGTGATATCTCATTAAAGTGCTTTGAAGTGGAAAGTACTTTTAAACAAATTTATTGAAACTAGATGGTTTAAACCAAGCATCTGGAGTTTTAAAGAACATTCAATGGTCAAAAGACTACAGCAGAAAGGCACCCTAATACTTAGTAAAACAAAAAACAGAGATTGGTCATATATATATGCATATACTTATACAAACATGAACAGCACCATTATCTTCTCTGAAGAAGCTCCATCCGAAAGGACATGCAAACCATTTATTTTTTGCTGCTTTTGATGGGGACATGTGATCCTTTCACACTGAGGTTCTCCAAAGAAACTTTGGGTCCTCTGGAACCTGCAATTGCTGTTCTTGTAAGCGCTTTCTCTCTGAAACAAACAAAAGTTAAAACCAAAACCATTGTGTGATATATACTTTTAATATGCATTTTGTTCACTACTTATGTGGAGGTCTAGTTATTTTAGGAAGTCTTAAATCTAGTTTACAACTTCAAAATTACATTTCTGTAGTAATGTTACCAGCATGATATAGAAGATATGAAACTTCAGCAACCTAGTTTTTTCCCCTCGAGTTATACTTGCTCTCATGTTTTTGAGAAGAAATGCAAGGAACACTGTTTACAGGCTTGGAATGGTAGCAATGGGGGAAGAGAAAAAAAGCACACAGTGAATTATCCGAGTTTCCCCAATTAAAAACAATTAATGAAAAGAGTTGGACCATTTCCCTCAACTTACACACTTGATGAGGAGACAGAGAAACAGCTCTGTTTCAAGGCTGAAGTTGAAGGTAAATCAGCCTCTGTAGTAAACCTCTAGGACTGAAGAGGTGCCAGAGGGAAAGTGCTTTGTGCAGTTTGCAGAAGAGGAGCCTTCACAGCATTCCCTCCCAAACATGAAACTGATAAAGGCATCACGACTTCCACTGAAACTTAGTCAACGTGAGGAGGGAAAAACCGAAGACTGATGGAAAACAGTCCATGCAGGGGAGCTCCTGCTTTTACAGATAAAATGCTCGTTCCTACACAGATCTCCCGATTTTCACATTTTATGAGGTCTTAATTGAGACCTGACCTAAAAAGAGTTGGAGTCAGAGACACACCCCCTACAAAAGTTATCTTGCCTTTTACCAAGAGAATAAGTTAACCTTGCCCTCCATGGGGATTTAATCTTAATGCAACTAACCCAGCTTAACGATGAGAGGGGAGAAGGACAAAAGTTAAAGTGTTTGTGTATAGTTGAGCTAAAGCACTGACATGCTTGTCTAGAAAACACTCTAGCGTTTTAGCTTATTAATTTATAATGTAATTTTCAAAGTCAAAATACTGAATTTCTTCAAAGTTTAGTTACCAAAACACTGCCTTATAGTTAGTGAGGTATCATCCAAAAAAGCAAAAGCTTACTATTTCTTCTCAGATTGCCAGTTAGCATTGTCTGTTCATAAAGTTAAAAAGATTGCTTCAGAATTGGCTTTCGTTCTGTTGCTAGCCTTCTCTTTTTCTGGTAGGAAATTTTTACCTTCTTGATCCATCTTCTTTGGGTACGTGATGAATACTTCTGTATTTTGGAGCTTCTATATTGCATCTAGTTCTAGATGGCTTGAACTTCATAATCTCCTTCTGCCACTCTTCATTAAAGGTCTGGGCCTCAGCTGAAAAACAGATGAAGTTATTTTCATTTTAAATACATGCAAACAAGACAGGAGAACTCACGTAATGAAAGTTAGTTTTGTTGAAACGGTGGTTTTAAACTTGCGGTCCATGTCTGATTATTTCTAGGGGTTCTGTAGAAGATAACCAAGAGGCCTATGGCTAGTAGGTTTAAATTTGGAAGACAAATCAAAAACTGAAAGTCATTGTTTTGTAAAAGTATATGAATGTTTATATATATATATATAATATAACTAGACATAAGCAGTATAGACATATAAACACACAGCAAATACAATTGTGCAAAAAGTTCATTTGAAGCCATAAAATATTATTTAAGTTATCTTCAAATACAAGCAGTTACCGTACAAGCAAACAGAGCCACTTATATCATTACAACACAACGTTTTCAAGTCTAACTGGTATTTTATCATAAGTGTCCACTTTACATCAGAATCTTGAATATACAGAATCTTGATTTGCAGACTTAGCACTTTCCGCAAAAGAGTCCCTTTTAAGATCTCTCAAGCTGGAACGTCAAAATTGATATGTGAAGTACCAGTGTTAAACCAGAGTATTGCATATAAAGACATACTTTCATCCAAGTTGATGAATTCTTGGTTCAGTTCTTCATCACCAGTTTTGTTGTTCTTAGATTTTTTTATGACATGGGCACGATCATGAATATGATGACCAATAGCCATTTTTTCCAGTCCACTTTCAGAATCTTTGAGCGCTTTTCTTGTCTCCTTAACCTGTACAAAGAAGGGAAATAAGCATTCTTCCAACAGCAACAAAAAAACTATCAGTTTTTCTTCCCCCAAGTTTTTTGTTCTTACTTTTCAAATAAAATTAGGCTTTACCGGCTTTTCCAATTGTCCCATTTATTGCTTTAGCAGAAAATAGACTAGCAAAACACAGATCAAGTAATATCTTTCTGTCTGTCCACAGAAAGAAAATAAAAACACCAGCTAAAGTTGCTTAAGGAAGGTACATACTGGATATTAATTGTTGGGGAGGAAAAAAATCTGCCAGGCCTAGTCTAAATATACTACCTGCAGACAAGTCTTCAACATTCTCCTTGACAACAGGATGCATAATAGCTTATGCTAGCATTCTCAACATGAAGGGACAACTAATTACTAGGCTGTCATGTTGACTGGCTTGAAACCCTGGCGACCACTTATCACTGTGTTCATAGGTATATTATTAGAACCTTTTTGATAACTGAGTGCCTGCTTGAGCTTGAACATATCCCACAGCCAATCATGCTGCACGCCCTTTACTGTTTGCATATAGTCTTTCATGAAAGGTGCTTCGGGGTTCAAATTCAAATTCAAATTTCTTAGCAGAATTAGATGCAACAGCTGCAAGGAAGCCAATGAAAGGACAGAGTCACCTGAAGCATTATGTAAGCATTTAAAAGTACCCGAGTAAATGGGATGATTTGAAGTGATGTTGTGCATAAATAGACAACCTTCGGTATGTTTTAGACAGTTTTAAATGCACAGAAGTGGATTAATTATGGCAAATAGCAAGTCCCTGCACTGACACCTTGAAAATCAACTCAGTTGATCTGTTCAGGCGCTGAGATCAGAATCAACTCAGGCGCTCAGTTTTTCCCGTCTTCAATATGCATACAATTTATCTAAACATATACTTAGACATACACAAATTACAGGGAGGAAACCACCACTGTAACTTAAGAAGCATATCATACAGAGCAGTATTTTACAAACATATATTTTTCTAAATTACAGGAGTAACTGCCTCCAGTAAAGAGATCTGAAGACTGTGGTTTGGTATAGATTAACTTAGATTCTGACAATTACATGTCACCTTTCTCCTGTCTCTCAAGACTACTTACACCTCCTGGAGCTGTGCGTGTCTGAGCTGAAGCTTGGAAAACTTTTGGTGGTTCATCCCCTATTTTGGAATACGTCATCACAGAGGAGGAGCTGAATGTGTGTGCATCTGGATGGACAGACAGGTCATCCTACAAGCAACCAATGCATTTTTATTAATACAAGTTAAAACCTGTGGATAATAAGTATTTCTTACCTTTTAAGTCTATCTTAATGGAATTATCACTAAGAAAAGGAATGGCCCCCTGAGAAGTTAACCCTCAGTTCCGGTACCATAGGAAGTTCTATGCACACAAATCGATCCTTTCGTCTTCATTTATTCCTTCCCCCCTTTCTAATTCTTCCTCCCTGACTTCAGTGGGGACATGCCTGTCGGGAACAGGCCCTGGCATATGATATGCCCTCACTCTTATTCTAGCATTGTCTGGGCGCAGGTCTCACCATGCTAGGAAACCTGCCAACAAATTAAGAGTATAGTTAGTCAGCAATAAGCAACTGCTCAAACTTTTCTCCTGGCATGGTTTAGTTTACTAAAGAAGATGTAACCTATGAGATCAGTCATGCCATGTACAATATCTAATAAGGAGTGTAAGAAGTTCAGGTTTTTTTTAAGGCCACATTAATAAAGTAAATATTTTCAGCAATGCTGTCAACACATATGGATGCTGTATCTTCAAGCACTGTAGAAGAAACAGCATTGCAAATAAAACCAGAGGAAAAAGGACCGATTTCCACAGAACATGCAGATTCAAGAAGTCTATATACAGGGTGCCATTTAGGTGTTTGAGGGTTTGTTGTTTTTAAGATGTCAAGTAACACTTTAAGCTCCTCCTATACTTAAGGTATCAGCTCTGTCAACAGCCAGAGACCAGACAACTTAAAGCAGTTCCAACCCTAGAGAATCAAGCACATATTTAAAGTACTGTTGTTAGCAAATTATCAGTGACAGCACAGAGAAGTATAATCACAGTATTTGGGGGGTGGAGCATATTTTCTTACTATCTGCTCTAGGCCAGTAACCCCCCCCCCCCCAGTTATATTTTAAACCACTGTCATTTTCCAATATGATTTTAAAACAAATTTCAAAAATTACTCACAAATTTTCTTTGCATCTCTAGCATACTGTTTCTCATATTTGACATCATTCTGTCCATTGCAAAAAAAGGTTCCCCAAAATCT